CTTTTAATGCACCTGTCCAGGAGAGCTGGCCATCAGAACCCAGTAGGGTCAGGATGTGCTAGTGACATGGTCGGCATGGATGGGACAGAGGGAGCACCACTCAGATCTCCTTTTTCCCAGAACCTACTGTTTGTTTGTATTTTTGGTGTTTTTTTTTTTTTGGTTTTTTTTTTTTTTTTTTTTTTTTTTTGGCTGCTGGGCAGACAGCTGCCCAACATGTCTGGCCAAAGATCTGGATTCAATCAATGGCTCTGTGTGCGAGGCATTTGCGTGATGGCGCCGGTTCCCAATACGCCCATTTCACAGAGAAGAAGTGCTTGTCCTACTCACCGGACTTGGCCTTCCCCTCCCTCCCTCCCTTGCTCTTTCTTCTCAGCTTCTCAACAAAGCAGCCACCATTTACAGCTAACCATTTACTGCCTGATAGAACCCAGCACTTTCAAAATGATCATTTGCAATGAGCAAGTTGCTTGCTGTCTTCCCCACAGGTCAGGGGTACAAGGGGACCAGGGTGGGATGCAAGGGGTCATGGCAGGGTGCAAGGGGACATGGCGGGGCCCTATCCCCTGACCTCCGAGCTCAGCTGCTGGCCTCTATCTGACACAGGAGGAGAGACTGAATGCCAAGCACTGTTGCCCAGCCCCTATCCCTTCACCACTCCACACTGGACAAGTTGGCAAGACTCCTTAAGTAAGCATAACTGCCAGCATTTGTTAAGTCCTTATGAGGACTTAACAGCACATGCAAGATGAAGACTTTAACCACTAGGCTACTGCACTGGACCCAGCTGCGGTTCTTAAAAGGAAAGAAGACAGAGGCAGGTGTCATAGTGTAGCAGACTAATCCTCTGAGTGCTGGCATCCCATATGGGTGCTGCTTCATATCCCAGTTTCTCCACTTCCCATCCAGCTCCCTGCTTGTGGCCTAGAAAAGCAGCAGAGGATGTTCCAAGTCCTTGGGCCCCTGTACCCACATGGGAGTCCCAGAAGAAGCTCCTGGCTCTGGACCAGCCTAGCTCTACTCAGTGCAGATATCTAGGGAGTAAACTAGCGAATGGAAGACCTCTCTCTCTGTCCCTCCTCTCTCTGAATCTGCCTTTCAAATAAAAATAAATAAATCGAAACAAAAAAAGAAAAGGAAGAAAGCCAAACCCTCACCTGGCCTTACTGCTCACTCAAACTCATCGCTCCAGTTGCAGATACCGTGAAGGGTGAGGGCAGGGTCTTAGCTGGAGCTCCTGTTCTCCCCCACTTCTGGAGAAGACCCCAGACCACCTGCTGTCCAGGGACCCCCCCTTCAGATTAGTACAGGGCTGGACTTGCACCCCAAACCTCCCTGCTCATTGCTGGCTGCTGCTGTGCTTGTGTGCTGGCTCCCCACCCCCACCCCCGGCCTTTTTTTTTTTTTTAAATAACCACAGCGGGATTCAGGGGGACTGCTAGTCTTCCCAGCACTGTCTCCCCCTCCCGCTCGGCTGTGACACAACCTCTGCATCCTGTGCAAACAGCAGCAAGTGTGGCGCTGGTGACACGGCACTGACTGGAGGAGGCAAACAGTGAGCGACCCAATTCACGCACAAACCTTTGCCAAACACCTACTGTGTGCCAGGGGTTGCTGGGCCCAAGGATGAAAGACCTACACCTGCCAGACAGCAGCTTGCCTTTCCCCACTTCTGCAGTGGAGCAGCCACCTTGCAGCTGGGGAACCAGAGGCTGCTCCAGGCACTGTCCTGGGCCCAATTATGTCATTCTCACTGTGACCTCACAGCCTAGGTGCTCACCCATTTCACACCTGGGACCTGTAATTCAGACATCAACCACCGAGAAGCAAGGTCCCTCAGCCACCCAGGGGTAGAGCTGGGGAGGGAACGTTTTGTCCCTGTGGAAACAGAGACCTCCTGTGGAGACCCATGAGTAGAGCCCAACACTGCTGTGAGACAGGGCACGCCCCAGGAAGAGGAAGTTCTGTAGCTGACTGCAGGTGGAACAGGGGTCAGGGTCAGGTTCACCACCTCCTAAGCTGATGGTCTTTCCACTCCAATGGCTGAAGGACTACAGGTGCTTTCAGCGGCATGGAGATCCCCTGAGCCCTCACCTCACTTCTGCACTGCTGAGCTCGGGTGATTGTCCAGGCTCTCTAAGGGAGAGGAGCAAAAACCAGAGTTTGCACCTGGACTCCAGGACAGCTATGCTTGACTGTTCTATGCATGTTCCTTGGTGCCTAGACTGGCCAGCCAGTCACGCCTCTGCTGCTCACATCAAGTCAGTGTGTGGCCTGCCTTTGCTGCCCCCTCCCCTACTTCGCCCTTGGTTTTGCAGCCAGGCCTCCAACCGCTCTGGCCCCACCCTGATCCCCCTGTTCTTGCCCTCCTCATCCTTCCTGCCAATGCTCCCCTCGAAAGCCTGGCTCCGAATCATCTAACCCAAGAAACAACCTGGAAGGGACCCAAGGCATAATCACAGAGGGAAGGCAAAGTTCTCGGGCTGCCAGAAGACATGTCATTGAACCACCCTATTCCTGGGGTGGGGGACGGTAGGGTCCCGCCCTGTGCATGATGCAGAGGACAGCCCCTGGCACTGTGGTGCCCAGACCTTCTGAAGAAGATGGCTCGAGGGGCTATTCTCCCTCCCCACCCCCTCCGCCCAGGGGCTATTCTTAAAAGGTTATCAGTACCTAGAGGGGAAGGAGAGTGAGGGCCTAAGGGGACCCCCTGCTCTGGCTCCCCAACTCCACCTACTACTACAGAATCTTTCCTAATCCTAACAGTAGCAATAAAGCCAGCTCCCTCCTTGCCACTCATTCTCTAGGCCTGACCCTCACCTGCCCTCAGGTCACTGCAGGAGTCACACTGACACCTCCAGGGAGGCTGTGGCTGATGGGTGGCCACCAGAGGGGCCCCGGCTCTGGGGTAGGGTGAGTCGAGGGGTAACTCCACCCCCCTTGCCTGGGGACACCAATGCACACATCTCTCCTTGTTTTACTCCCTACTCCTCTCCCCTGCACTCCTTGTGGCTGTCACAGGTTCTTTCAGAGTTCTGCAAACAGGACAGTGAGAAGTCCCCCATGTCTGGGCTGCTAGGGGACAGAGAGTGCCTCATGCCTCAGACTTTACAAACACGAAGCTGGGGGTGACCCGAACCCCAAGTCATACTTTCACTCTGGCAAAACCTCCTGAGCTCCAGGATAAGCTCAAAGTGGCTCAGAATCAGTTTTTGGGAAACCTTAGCAGAGCACAGCCCTAGCTCAGAGCACTCAGCTTTCCATGCCGGCTGCACCCCTCGCTGGCCCTCAGACCTGGACCTTGAACCTGGCCTTAGGCATGACTGCAACTTCCTAGCAGGTTATGAGAAATGAATGACTTAATATTTGCAAAGCAGGCACAACAATGCCCAGCAAATTGTACCTATTCCATCAATACGCGTACAGAAAAAAAAAAGCAAGCAAATTCTTTAATAGAAACCAGCACGAGATGTACATTCCATCCCTGACTTACTGGGTGTTTGCTGAGTACCCACCAATTTACTGGGCTCCACACAAAGGCACCCTGTGGGTGAACAGGAGCCGCACCACAACACAAGGAAAAGATTCATTATCTTTTAGAATAAACGCCATCCTCCTAAACAAAGATTCCCACACAATTCTGCGAAAGGCCAGGGGAGAAAGAACATGGGTGTGTTGCCATATAAAGCTTGAAACAAAATGAAACCCGCAGTCCATTTGAAAGAATGAATTCCATCTAACTGGTTTGTAGTTAGACCAGCGCTGGCCACACACAAGCCTTGGGGAAACCATCTCCCTCGGCGACATTTACTCAGGCGCTGGGCATGGTTTTCCTTCCACAACCTTCTCGTCACCCAGAAAATCGCCTCTAGGTTCACCTTCAGCCCTGGGATGGGCGTAGGAGTAGGTGGGTGGGGATGTGGGTGGGGATATGGTTGGAGAAAACCCTTGGACACTTCCACAAACAACTCACACGTGCCTGCGTGAGGACGGGGAGGAAGAGAATGAAGCAGCAGTGGTTGCCATGTTCAATCTGGGTGGCTTAACTCAAACCACTTTGTGAGTGGGTTTATGCACAGCCGCTGTCATAACCGATGGGGGATAAAATTCTGGCTGGCGATCTGAACCCTCCCCCAAATCCACTCGAGGCTTTCGAAAGGAATTGCTTTAGAACGCCTAGGTGGACTCTTCATGAGTGGCTTAGGCTGTCCACGCCAGCCCTGCGGGGACTCCTGAGACCCTGGGCCACCCCCGCCCTCCAGCTGGACACACGGACACCAAATTACCCAGGGCGACGCTCAGCTGGGATCCGGGGTGGGGGTGTTTGGGGGGCGGCGGCGACACCGACTACCTGGGTGCACAGAGCCTGTAGGCCAGCAGCTATCTCCAAATTCTACCTGGGAGCGCAGTCCAGTGACTTCCTAAACTCTGGGCGCCTACCTGCGTCCCAGAGCCAGGGCAGGAGCGAGCGGGAGCGACCCTCCGGGGCCAAGGGTCAGAGAGCAGCTGCCACGAACCACCCGCTGGCCCGTCGCTCCGAGGAGCCGCCACCCCTGCCTGGGGCACCCTCTTCTCCCCGGGCATCGAGCGGTGGAACCAGGGCTCACAGGCGAGGGTGGCGTTGACGTCCCGGGCAGAGGCTTCAGCGGAGGGGAAGGGACAGAACCAGACTAGGAGCTGACCGCAGGGCGCCGGGGCGGGAGGGGAGCCCCTTTTTGGGTGCAAGGGTCTGAAGGCTGCGATGGGGGTGAACCGAACTCACCGGGTGGGCGGACCCCTCCTCCCCAGCGTGCCGGCAGCTTTGCCTCTTTTTTCCACCCGATTTCTCCGCTTACCCACCCAAGCCTGGCTCCAAAGGTCCAAAGCCAGGCTGCCCCCTACGTCTCCCATCCCTGGCGGTTCCTCTTGTACCCCTCCCCCGGCCCCGCAGCCCACGCCCGTCCCGCGCCGGCCCGGGGCTGGGGAGACCTGCGCGCGCGGCTGTTCGGCTCGGCTCTTACCTGAACCAGCGAGAGCTGCGGGCGCAGTCCCATCCTCGGGCTCGCTCGGTCAATATGCTGGCTCCCTAGGTCTCCCGGGCATCCCCGAGGGGCTGACCAGCGGTGGCGGGCTCGCGCGGCTCTGGGTGGGCGGCGGGGCTCCTGGAGCGCTGCCCGCGCTCCCGGCCCCGCAGCCCTGCCCGGCCCGGCGGGCTCTCCCTCGCCCCTTCCCCGGCGGGTCTGGAGGCCGTCTCCCGACCGAACCCGACCCGCGGCCGCTGCCAGCCCCCGCCGCCTGCCCGCCCCCTCCCGCGCCTCCCGCTCCCGCCGCCCCGCCTCCGCGCCCCGCCTCCCGGCTCGGGCCGGCCCCCTTTCTCTGCGCCCCGGTTTGCGGCAGTCCGCGAGGCTCGCGGGGAGCGGTGCGGCCGCCGCAGCACGGAGGAGCCGGGATGGGTAGGAAGTGGCTGGAGAGGGGACAGCTTCCCGCCTCCCGCCGGGTCGCCGGGTCGAAGCTGGTCCCAGCGAGTAGGAGATGGGGGCCGGGGAGCCGGGTGTGTGAAACTGAGGGGTCCAGGTGAACGTGCGAGAACGAGGCTGTGGGGGGCTGGGGAATGGGGCCATCCGACTGAGCGCAGCCGCCGCGGGAACCCGGCGCAGGCGGGATCTGCCAGTCGGCCCGGATGTCCCCCATGCCCACTCCAGCGGCTTTGGCACGCCCGGTGCGCGCAGAGACGCGAAGCCCCGGATAAGGAGTCCTTATTCGTTTGTTTAATCAATTGACAAACTTCGCCCCTTGCCTGGATCGAGGAACTCCGAGATGAAGAGGGTGCGGTGGAGACCGCCTGCATCAGGACTCTGCTGCCGAGGCGGGCGGCGCTGAGCACACTGCGCTACGGCCGCGGGAACGCAGCTGGGAACCCAGCGGCCCGGGTGCGGCGCAGGCCCCAGCGCCCCCTGTCGTTAGAGGCCTGGCTGGGGTAGGGGTCGTGATGCGGTTGGTTCTCCAGGTCGCATCCCAGCCCATCTCTGGTGAGCTGCAGCCCCTCTGGGGAGCAAAACTTCTAATGCCCCCCCCCTTCAGTCTTTCACCTTCCTGTCAGAGTTAGAAAAAGAGTGTCGCTGGGAAACACAGACATGTTCATTCCGTCCCGCAGAGTCAGCGCTCTCAGTGGCCCCGACTCATTCCAGAGCCGGTGGAAGCACTGAGGCTGGAGCATGGTCTCAGGGGGTGGTCGGCCTGAGCCCGGCTGCTGCGTTCTGCCCCCACCCCCACCCCAGCACGCTGCAGGATGGCCTAGACTATGTATTCATGGATGCAACCAATAGTCAACTGGAGCAAGAAGAGGTCGTGTGGCCCCAGGCACAAGGTTGGGGGGGCGGTAAGAAAGCCAAGACCTGCAGATAAATGACTCGTAGTCCTCCCCTCAGAGCCCAGGCACAGAAGTGGAGAGGGGCATTGCCCAGTCAGGCAGCTGGCCACACTGGGCAGTCACACAGGGCAGGTGAGGCACACAGCCTTGCATCTTGCAGATCCTCCAGATAGGTTAGTGCCCCAGAGCTGGTGGATGCTGAGTCAGCTGCTGACTCACCACACCAGTCCCAGAAGAGGTGGACGTACCTCCAGAATGCCAGCATACTCTCCTCAGCCAGAAATAAATGCAAGGGAGTCTGGGAGGGGGCAAGTTCTGGAGCCGGACACGTGGAGCTGAGCCTGGGTGCACCCACTCACAGGCAGCACAGACTTGGAAAAGTATTGGACAGCCTCGGTGTTCTCATCTATAAAATGGGAATGGGGCACCTGCCAGAATTCTAGGGTCATTGGGGGTTCAACTGAGCTTAAATGAACTATTTCCTGAGAGCTAGCTACTAAAAATACACACACACACACACACACACACGGGGTAAGAGGTGGGGAATCTTACATCCATTGATTCACTCCCAAATGGCCACCAGGTCTGGCCCAAGCTGAAGCCAGGAGCCAGGAACTCCACCCTGGTCTTCTTCCTGGGCCACCTTCCACCAGGCATAGTAGCAGGAAGCTGGAACAAAGCAGAGGAATGGGAACTGGAATTGGCACCTTGATGCAGGATCTCAGCATGGCAAGCAGCAGCTTAACCCTCGGCTTCATAATGCTGGCTGTGAGCTGACATTTGCAAAGGGCTTGGAACAGTTCCTGACTCAGAACAAGAACTTCATGAAGAGTCTGTTTACAGCCACCATCACCAGCAGCATTGTCAAAGTGGCAAGGATTTCATGCTCCCATGCAGGGGTGGGAGATGGGGTGAGCATGGTCCTTTGCTTGGGCAGGTCTTGGTGGGAGGTAGAATTGATAAGGAACAGGTAGTCAGCAGCGGTGGGCTGTGGACTGGGGGCAAGGAAACCTGCAGCCTGCCTCCCCAGCCCCACCACAGAGCCCCATCCGCAGGCCGACAGCTCCTGGCCCTGCGTTTCGCTTTGACTCTGTCTTTGCTTCACAAACACCAGCACATTTCGCCTCCCTGGTCCTCTCCTTGACGTGATCTTTAAATATGCTAATGCCATCGATTGGGCTGTAATCAAGTCTTGATCCTCTGCCTCTTAGAGCCGGGTGTCAGCCCTCAAGTGGCACCGAGCCTCTGTGTCACCCACTTGACCTCCACCACGGCTTCCCTGAGGTCGGGGGACAGACAGGCTTTGGTCTCACCCTACAGCGTCCGTGTTTACAGTTTTGGCCTTGACAGTCCCTGGGGAGTTTCACACTTGTTCTGTTTCCTTTCTTCACTTTCCAGGGCCAGGCTCTCAGCAGCTGGACAAGGTGTTCTGCCCTCCTCCGGCCACCCCTGTGTGTTCTCCCTCCCTCACCCCTGTCCGTCCTCCCCATCCCCGTGCGTCCTCTTTCCCTGTTCTCCATCTCTGCAGGACCTCCTCCCTCACTCCCCCTCCCTGCATTTCTTCCTCATATCCCATGTGCCCCAGCAGTGCCAACAGCTCCAGCTCGGTGCTTTCCTCTCCCAGAGGCCACTGCACACCCTCCTCAGGACGGGTTCCTGCTTCAAGTGAGGGGTCTCCCTCCCCAGACTCTCTGTTGTTCTCACTCTTCCTGCCAGGGCCTAGCCACATTCAGCTTCCCTTCACTTCACCTGTCAGACTGTGAAGAAAGGAGGACATGAAAAATCGGACAGGAACCAAGGACTGTCATGCCCACCTCTCTGGACAGTGGGAGGGAAGGGTAGGGAAGCTGTGCTGGTTGGGGCCCAGAGGGGAGGGCTGCATCTGTCCCTCCTGCCTGGGGATCTGTCTGCTGAGTGTCAGCAACTCAATGAGGACTGGCACCCATGAATCTGAGTTCCTAGACTACCTGGGAGTGCAGAACCAACTCTGTATTTTTAAATTTCTAATCTGTCACAAAGTGATAGAACCACAAAAGGCAGTGGGAATGAACTATTCGGAAAATGCAACAGAAAATAAAGACATGCAAGACAAAAGAAATCACCCAGTGTTAAAAAAGGAAACAGGTAGAGCTAAAAGATGTCAAAAATCACTCTGACCATATTGCTCCAGATCTTTTATTTCTGCACCTGCCTTGGCACAGACAGCAAGTGGCTTGCGATCTGTACACTATGCTTGGGGTAGCACTGAGCTCCCAGGCCTAGAAAGTAACCTTGTGGAGCAAACAGTTTTTAAACTCCCACCACCCCTGGGGAATTCAGTGTTCATCGCTTCATTGGTTTGTGCAGTCATTCAACAAACATTGAGTGAGTGGCAACTACGTGCCAATCACTTTGGATACTGTGGTGAATGGAGATGAATCTCCTAAGCACCTTCCAGCTCTCAAGATGTTCACAGCCCGGAAGGGGAAATAGTTACTTTGATAAATAATTAAAAGCCAGTGAAATTAGGTCAACAACAGGCCAGGCACTGTGAGCACAGAGGCAGCAAGATGAATTTTCCCTGGGGCCAGTGGAAAAGGTTCTACCAAGGTTGGGGGAGGGGAGCAGGATGCTTGTGTCAGGGTCTGGAGTCAGAAGGCAGCTGTAGGGCTGGGGGCCACTGGCTAAAGGAACCAAAATGTGTCAGGTGCTTTGCACAGCAGCCGTTTCTGGCAAGTGCTTCCACAGCATTCGCTACTTGTTATTATTAAACACAATCAACAATCAAGATTGTCATCGTTGTTACCTGCTCAGCTCTCCCCTGCTTCATGTTGGTGTAGGGCTATGGGAGTTGCCATAAGACGTTACCTAGTTGAGGAAAGGGACCCCTCCCCTCCCCCCAGCTCTGTTTGTCAGAGGAAAGTTTTTTTCTGGAAGAGAAAAGAGTGGGGGGAGTTGCATAGGGAAGGAAATGATATGGACACTGAAGAAGGAGATACACAGTGGGTCACAGCCCCGGAAACAGGTGCAGGCCAGAGGAACAGATGGAGTTAATGGGCCAGGAGGTGAGAGTTTGGAGGCTGAGCAAGGCTCAGCAGAATGACCGGGGTCAGGAGCTATGGGTCTGTGAGTTGGTCTCTGAGAACAACAGACAAGAGCAAGTAGGGTGTATATGGCAGCCGTGACACTGCCACAGCTCTGTCACAAACATTTTCTGACTTAATCCTTGTAATAACCCCATGACACAGGCTTTCTTTTGCTGCCTTGCTGTTTGCATGAGAAAGTGGAGCTCAGAGGTTGAAACCTTACACAAGGTCACACAGCTGGTGCTAGCATAGGCAGGGAGTCCCCTGCTCCTGATTCTCAGTGTGATGGGTAGCAACTTGATCTAGGCCCCCCCGGGGTTGAAGCCATCAGCCATAGGAGGAAGTCATGAACCAGATGAGTCTCTCTTCCCCACGGATGGGCAAGAATGAAGAACAGAGGCAGTGCACAGGTGGGGTTAGACAATGGTTGCAGCAAAAGGCAACTGCTCAGCAGAAGGGCTCCCCAGTGACCCGCAAGCTCCTCCCTCCCCCTCCCCAAGTCTCAGTCCCATCCACATCTATCAATTACCACTTTGGCTTTTATTAAATATGGCCAAAAGGACTATTGAAGTTGGGTGGTGGGGCAGGGTATGTGTCTGTTCTCAAAAACATTTTAAAAAGGTATTTTTAGG